GTTTTGGTTTGCGAATTGAATGCCTTATCGGCAACCGATTCAGAAATTGACTTGATTTATATGTTAATTAGGATTTTTAGAATTTTATGGTAGGCTTAATTGAAATTCGATTCGGAACAATTAAATTAGATTAATTTAATGTCCACTTATTTGGCCTTAATTAATTACACCTTGTCCAAGCCTAATTAAGGCACTAGTGGGCTTCCTTGTGCACCCATACACTCCCATTTCACTCTTTTGTTAATACAAACGTGAGGGAGAGAATGAGGGAAAAAAATTGAGCTCAATTAAGGAAATGCTAGACTTGTTGACAATTGAAGAGGATTTGAGAATTTTAACTTCAACATTGGTGAATTCAAGTCTCTAGGTAAGGAACCAACCTCTTAATTGGGTAATTGAGTTAGACTTTGCAAGACTTCAAGTGAATTAGGTGAATTCATGTAGGAATTGAGTTAGAATTAAGGAGGTTTGAGCCATACCATGCATGCATGTTCTTTTCTTCACAAATAGGGCATGATTTCAAAGAATTCTTTCATACATGTGTTCATTTTTTGGCCTTGATTTCATGAAATGATCTTTAAATCATGATGTTTTGTGAGTTTCTAAATGTTTTCCAGAATTTTGCAAATTCATCTACACCTCCTATCCAGACTTACCAACGTATTTACCCCTTACACATTTTCATAATTTCCATCATAATATAGTCTTTTGCAAAATAATGATTTTTCAATCACATGCCAAGATGCACAAAAGATGATAATGACTCAATTGAAACATGATGCAATAATTACTACGTCATAATATTTGTCTATTCTCAAGATATCTTTACAATAATGTCAATCAATTCCATTTCTCAAAATAACCACTCTCACCATGTGCAAAACCACACAAGTTAGCCTCTCAAGGCAATATAATGTTTTCAACTACATTCCAAGATCTCAAGGTTTTCCATGTTCATAATACATAATCATTCATCAATTTCCAATAACACATGTCCAAATATTTTTTTAACAATTTCATTATATTAACCTTCCATTCATCTTCATGACACCAAAATAATAAGGATTTCACAAGAAAATCCATGTTTTCCCAAAATCCCCAAATTCTAGGTCTTTTTCCTCAAAACAAAACCCTTTTCATTTCTTGGTGAAAAATCTCATCACAACATATTTCTTAGGTCAACAAGATGGAAACCCCAAAGATTGACCAAAAATTTTAAAGTTAAAGAAAAACCCTCTTTTGAAGAAAATCTCTACACATTTTGAAATCACAAGATTTATACCATGACAAACTAGAAAGAACTCTTAAATCATCATAAAAAGGGCAAAACTAATATATATAACTCAAGGATATCCGTACCTCAAAGTAGAAGCCCAAGGAGAAGGATTAGACAAATGTGAAGCTTCCAAAAATGGCAAAACCCACTTCTTCTTGGATGGAAATGAAGATCTTGAAGAGCTCAATCTTTCTGTCTAAGGGAGAGAGGTGAGAAGATCACTAGATCTAGGTCAAATATATATAGAGAGAGTATTTCTAGAGAGAGAGGCTCTTAACTTACGGTTTGGATGAAAAAGAGATGAAAAAGTTATGTAAAAAGTCACCTTTACGATCTGATATACGCGAAGTCCGCTCGAGTGGACAGTTTCACGCTCGAGCGTCAGACACAATAACAACAACCCGCTCGAGCGCTAAGAGCACCGCTTGAGCTCAAACACGCTCGAGCGTAAGAAACGCCGCTCGAGCGTAAAAAACACTTTTGCAGCATTTTTGCAGAGACACTCGATACTGAAAGGTTGCAAACTCCACTCGAGCACAAAAAGCCTGCTCGAATAGAAGATCGAAATTCTGGGCAACAAGATTCTAGACCGAAAGGCAACAACCTGTTCTAAACATGCTTAAGTCATTCCAAAACTCAAATTCAAGAGATGTTAGGAAGAAAGACATAACCGGCAACATCAAACAATAAGATTCGGATCCAGAATACCATGACAGTCGGGTAGAGACCCGGGGTTACTATAAAGGTTGTTACCTTGGCTGAGAAGTCTAAGGAAGCTGCCATTGGGGTACAGGCCCAACTTGAAGGGAAGGTGGCAGAGTTGGAGGCTGTTATTGCGGTAATGGCCGCTGAACGTTTTGCATTGGAGGCTAAGTATTGGAAGCAAGGTTGGGATGAGGCTCGGGCTGCTTACAAAGAAGATGTGCTAGTGTTATGGGACAAGCTCTTTCTGAAGGGTTGGTCAAGTGCTCTGGCCGCTGCTTAGGTTACTTAAGGGTCTCCCTTGTTTTAAGATGTTCCTGTTCCCTCAAGGTCCTTGGGTTCGAAGACTACTGCTACCCCTGCAATTCTTCCAACTAAGTCTTCCCCAGGAACTGATTCTATAGCCAAGACTTTGGAGAGGGACGTTGCCAATGAGACAGTGAATGTTGAAGGGGGTGGAACCTTAGAAACTGAAGCTGTAGGAGATATGGTTAAGGAGGCTTCTACTTCTCAAGAAGTTGGAGTTACCTCTATTTTTCCTCCCCAAGATGGCCCGAATAAGATTATGGATACTGCTCCTGAAGTTCCTCATGTTGATGAAAGTTGAAGTCGTCTTTGGAATGATTTGAAGTTTTTTGCTTTTTCTCTCTCTCTTTTGTTTTTATTTTTCTACTGTACTGGGGCTCGGTCTTCTTGGCGAGTTGCCCCCTTATGTTGGTCAAGATAATTTTTCTTTCTTCTTGGTAATGTTTCATGGGGCCAACTGTGCCTTTGATAGAACTTCACTTCTGATATTACAGTTTGATGTGTTTTGTTTTCATGTTCACATTTGTTCATACTATTTGCCCCTAGCCGAGCACTGTTGGGTCCACGGGGCCGAATAGTTGCTTGGTTTTCATGGTTGTACTGATCGTTGTAATTTGAATGAGAGTAACTTACTTAGGTCCAGGTTGACTTTAAGAAAAAAACAATTGTTTGCCCCGAGCTAAGTAAGATTTGTACTGAAGAACCCGCTCTCTGGGAGAACTACTTAAGTTGATGTTGATAGTATAATTGCCCATGAGTAGGGCAAATATGTGTAGAGGAAATATATTATACTTAGGTCCAGGTTGGTACCAAGAAAACAATTGTTTGCCCTAGCTTGGAGCTAGGTAAGACTACTATTGAAAGTGTGATTGTGGAAGGGTTTACCCAAGTCTGTCCCAACTTTGTTTGGGATGCAGCAGTACTAGGGTGTTGACGTGATGATACCTAAGGAAATCTGTGATTGTGAAGAAAAAGAGTTAAAAATTTGTTAGGGTGGTTTCCATTAAGCAGTTCTACTTGGCTAAGGTCCATTTTGGTGGCCAAACATAACTCCACCAAGCAATCCCATTTGGCATGTTTGAGTGCGGACCAAAACTAAATTCCGTTCGGTCATTCCGAAACTTTTTCCGTGTGGTTAAAACCAAAGCTAAATCCGTTTGGTAATCACCAAAGCTAATTCCGTTTGGTAAATACCAAAGCTAATTCTGTTTATTTTGAAATATGCCCATTGGGCTTAAGTTATGGAGTTCGAGTTAAGTAATAATTTGCCCTGACCACAAGGCATGTACAAGTACTTGGAAATAAAAGTTCAAAGAAATGGGGAATCATTCTCATTAAGTGAAAGGAATATGCTTTTACACTTGAGAGATAAATGTGAGGTTGAGTCTATTGATAGTATTTTTTGAGGTTTGCTACATTCCAAGGCCGAGGTATGGCCTTGCCCCTGATATCCTCCAAGTAGTATGCTCCATTTCTAGCGACGACTATAACCTTATATGGACCTTCCCAGTTAAGTCCTAACTTTCCTTCGCCAGGTGCCCTTTTGTGGTCCATGACTTTCCTCAAAACCAGTTCTCTAGGTGTAAATTGTCTTGGGAAAATTTTTTGGTTAAAACTCTTGATGAGCTGTTGCTGATATGCTATAAGTCTAATCAGTGCTGTTTCTCTTCGGCCCTCAGCCATATCCAATGCTTGTGCAATAGCTTCCTCATTACTTATGTTTTCGAATAGCTCCGATCAGAGGGTTGGGAGACCAACTTCAAGTGGGATAATAGCCTCCATTCCATAAGTTAGGAAGTAAGGTGTTTCCCCGGTTGAGCGCCGAGCCGTGATTCGGTAAGCCCATAACACGTGCGATAACTTTTCAACCCACTTTCCTTTCGCACTTTTGAGTCGCTTCTTTACTTCGTTGATGATGGTTTTGTTCGACGCTTCTGCCTGTCCATTACTCAGTGGGTAGCCCAGAGAAGAGTTTTGATATTCAATTTTGAGGTCGGTACAAAATTTTCTAAAGATCTTTCCGTCAAACTGTGTTCCATTGTCTGCAATCAGTACCTGTGGGATGCCGAAACAGACCACGACGTTCCTCACGACAAACCGCTTTGTGTTTGCTTCTTTGATGCTTGCTAGTGCTTCAACTTCAACCCACTTAGTGAAATAGTCAATTGCAGCAATGAAGAATCGTCTGTTCCGAGCGCCTCGTGCCAAAGGTCCGACAATATCCAGACCCCACTAGGCAAAGGGCCACGAGCTGGTGAGTGAAGTAAGAGTTTTGGCTGGTTGATGAATTAGTGAGGCAAACCTCTGACATTTGTCACACTTTTGAACGTATTGTTGTGCATCTTGCTGCATTCATAGCCACCAGTACCCATGAGTGAGGGCTCTGTGCGCCAATGACCTTCCACCAATGTGGCATCCACAAATCTCATCATGAATTTCATAAAGAACATTTTCGACTAGATTTGGATGCACACACAACAGATAAGGACCGAGATAGGAGCGTCGGTATAGCTTCCCAAATGGTGAGACCCAAAACCAAGTTGATCTATGTCGAATTTTGTTGGCTTCCTTCTTGTCTTCGAGGAGAGTGCCAGATTTCAAAAAAAAACAAGTATTGGATCCATCCAGCTTGGCTCTACGTTATTGTAGAGGACTGGAGATGCAATGCTTGGTTTTGGCACAAACTCAACCCAAACTTTTCTAGCATCTTTGGCATCTACTGAAGAGCCGAGGCAGGCCAGAGCATCAGCATGGTTATTTCTATCCCGACTGATTCGTTCCACTCGTATGGATCGAAACTTTTAAGTAGATCCTTGGCGTTGTTTGCGTACATAGCTATTCTCTCATCTCGTGTTTCATAGATCCCAGTGAGCTGGTTAACAACCAACTGAGAATCACTAAAAACCAGAAGTTGCTTTGCACTGAAGTGTTCGACACTGCGTAGACCAGCTAACAGTGCTTCGTACTCCGTTTCATTGTTAGAAGCCTTCCAACCAAGCTTAAGAGCTTGTTCCCCGATAAATCCTTCCGGTGACATAAGTACTACCCCTGTTCCCGATCCTTGGTTATTGGATGATCCGTCGATATAGAGCTGTCAGATGTTACCAATAAAGAGTTTCTGTACTTCTAAAGCACATTGCTTTCCTAGTTCGGTAGTGCGTGGCACCTGTACCGAGTTGGAGTTCTCGCGCTCAGTGCTTTGGGTGGGAGCGAATTCGACGACGAAATCTACCAAGACCTAGGCCTTGATTGCTGTTTTGGGTTGATATCGAATGTCAAATTCACCAAGTTTAACCGCCCATTTCGTTGTTCGGCCGAAGAAATCAGCTCGGCTGAAGACAGATCGGAGGGAAATTCGGTGAGGACATTGATGGTGTGACCCTGAAAGTAATGTTGCAGCTTCCTCGAGGCGATGAGTAGTGCAAAAGCTAGCTTTTCCAGGGGTAGGTACCGTATCTCGGCATCTAGTAGAGTCTTGCTAACATTGTATACTGGCCTTTGTTCCCTTTTCAACCTCTCGAATCAATACCGCACTTACAGCATGATCTGAGACTGCTAGATATAGGTACAGTTCTTCCCCCGGTTTTGGAGTGGACAGGAGAGGTGGTGTACTAAGATATTTTTTGAGGCCTTGCAATGCTTTAGCACATTCAGGACCCCATTCAAATGCAACCTTTTTCCTTAGTAGCTAAAAGAAGGGCTTCATCCGATCTGAAGACTTGCTGATGAACCGATTCAAGGCGGCTGTCATTCCAGCCAGCTTCTGTGGCTCTTTAGCCTTTGTTGGTACTTCAAGCTCTTGTATTGCTTTGATTTGATCCGGATTTGCCTCGATTCCTCTGTGAGTCACCATGTACCCCAAGAACTTCCATGTTCCTACCCCGAAAGCGCATTTCAAGGCATTAAGGCGAAGCTTATGGTTTTTTAGGATACTAAAAACTTCTTTCAAGTCTATAAAGTGGTTTATAGCGAGCTTGCTTTTTTCTACCATGTCATCTATGTAGGCTTCCATGGTTCTTCCGAGCTAGTCCTTGAACATTCGAGTGATCATTCGCTGGTAGGTTGCTCCGACATTCTTAAGGCCGAACGACATTACTTTGTAGCAATAGGTGCCTCTTGGAGTAATGAATGTTGTCTTCTCTTGATCTGGGTCGAACAGTGGTATCTAGTGATAGCCGCTATAAGCGTCCAGAAAGCTCATATGCTCATGTCCTGCTATTGAGTCTACCAGTTGATCAATGCGAGGCAGATGAAAGCTATCCGTGAGACAAGCTCTGTTTAGGCAGGTGAAGTCAACGCAGACTCTCCATTTTCCGTTCTTCGTTTTAACTACAACTGTGTTGGACAGCCATTGTGGGTACTGAACTTCTCGAATCGCCCTCAATGCTAGGAGTTTGTTGACCTCGGCAATTACTACTTCAGTGTGCTCAACTGAGAATCTTCGACTTTTCTGCACAATAGGCTGTACGGAAGGGTTGATGGTGAGTTTATGGCAAGCAAAATCTGGGTTCAACCCTGGAGTATCATACGTTGACCATGCAAATACCTCCATATTCTCCCTTAGCAAATCCAGTAGTTGAAGTTTCTCATCAGTGCCTAGCGAGGTACCGATAAGGAAATACTTTTCTGGATCATCTTCTTTTACTAGGACTTTCTCAAAATCCTCTACTATCTTTTCCGCTAGGGTTCCTCCGACATCCTCCAAGACTAGTTGTTCGGCTATTTAAACTGTATGTGCCCAATTGTAGTGTTGTTTAGCCTTCATAACTGCCATGAAGTAATGTTTTGACGCAACTTGGTCCCCTGAGATCTGCTCGACTCCGTGTTCCATTGGGAAGCAGATAAGCTAGTGGTAGGTTAAGGGACTGCTTCCATTTGGTGAATCCAAGGACGACCGAGTATGGCATTGTAAGGAGAAGGTATATTAATAGCTAGAAATTCTATTTGCATGGTCTTTGTCCCAGCCACAACTAGAAACACTATCTTTCCAAGTGGCCATTCAGGCTGTGAATTAAAGCCGACCAATAGAGCTGCCGCCGAGGTAAGGTGCTGCTGAGAGAGACCGAGCTTCCTGAACAAGTCGTAATACAATGTATTTGTTGCACTACCCTGATCTACCAGGACTCATTTTACGTCAAATCGTTTCCCAATTCCCACAGTTATAATCAGTGCATCAGTATGTGGGTGCTGAATACCTTCTAAATCCTTTCTAGTAAATGAAACAGTGCACAAGGGGGGCTTAGGTATTGTGCGTACCTTTTTCGACGCGGGCCCTATTGACATGACCTACTGAATCTACATAGTTTTGGCAATTTCTTCTTGGAGTGCTGCTTCACGCTCGTGGATCATATTTATTACCAACCGAGGAGGATGCTCAATGTTCGGTTCTGGTAGAGGGTTCCCTTGTTCGACCACCACTTTATCCTGATCAATGTAGTCTCAGAAGTGTCCAGCAGCTACCAAGTCTTCCAAGTATTGCTTCAATGCTCTGCAATTCTGAGTCATATGTCCCCTGTCTTGGTGATAGGTGCATCTAAGCTTCTAATTGCGCCGAGTTGGATCTCCCTACATTTTTGGCAGCCAAATAAAGAATGGCTCTCTCTTGATCTTTTCCATAATACGATAGATTGGTTCCTTGAATACGGTCACAACTGCTTCATGGGATTTGGACTTGTCTACTTCATTTACTGTGAGTCCTTGGTGTTTCCCTCGATCTGCTCTTTTTTTGTGCCGAGTTGTTTATTCAGTTAATGCTACCTCAATGGGGATCTGATCATCTTCGAGGCGAGCGTACTGCTCAATCCTGGCACGCAAGTCCTTCAGTGCTGTAGCCGAGCACTTGGTAAGTGATTGTCTTAGCTTACTTTCCGAGCGCAGACCGTGTTTAAAAGACATCACGGCCATCTATTCACTGCAAACGTTTTGCTCCAGGTCATTATACTCCTCTCAATACCTCCTAGCATAATTACGCAGTGTTTCTTCATGTTCCTTTCAGAGGCTGAACAGTGTATCTGGCTCTTTCAGGATCTTAGTGTTGGAGACGAACCTGGCCAAGAACTCTTCAGAGAGCTGCTTCCAGTCGTAAATCGATCCGATAGGGAGACGATCGAACCATCGAAGTTCGGATTCTCCCAAGCTGGACGAAAAGACTTTGCACATCAGTGCCTCGTCTCGGCTCCATAAGGACATCATATGCCGATAATGGCTGATGTGCGTCAGTGGGTCTGACTTCCCATCGTATGACGTGAACTTTGATGGAGTGAATTTCTTAGAAGGTCTCATGGCCTCAATTTCCAGGGAAAATTGAGAGAAGACGAGCTGATCCAATGCTCGATGCTCTCTCTAATGGATAGTACGGTCAAGGTGATCTCGTCGTTGCTCATTTTCTCTGTTGCCAATCAGCCAAGTACGGAGATCCTGAGGAGGGTACTCTGTCTGCTGACTAGCTATTTTCTGCCTCTCAGCCCTTCTCCGGCGTGAGCCATGGTTGTGGCTGCTCGCTGCCTCACTTTATACCAGGATTGGCTGGCTTTGCTGCCTAGACTCATTTCTAGGAACCTTCTTCACTGGTGGTTCTCGGGATGGGCTTCTCTGTCGCAGGCGAAAGGGCTCTGCGTCAGTCCTCTTCTCCGTCGGGTCACCCATCACCTTTTTAAGTTGTGCTTTTAGTTCCTGTATCTCCATTCCCATAGAGTCAAGGATTCGATCCCTGTAATCCTTTTCTAGTAAAAAATGATGAGAAGAACCTCCAGCGAAGGACAATCGATGCTCAATAGATTCGAGAGTCCGATTGTTGTTCCTGGTTTGTTCTTCCAAGACTGTCAGGAGTGCCAAGCCTTTATCCTTTGTCTCCTCCGTTTATGGAGTCAGTGCCAAATGTGGGATGTCCTCAATCCCCATTGCCGGAATCAAGCGTAGAACTCGAAGACAAAGTCGTCCACGTTCACTGCACCAATTGTGCATACTAAATACCGCACTAGATGATTGTGGATCAGAGCTCCGCACTTGATTCAGTATCCTGTAGCAATGAGCACTATTAGAGCTGCCCGGCCGGGGCTGGCCGGATAACCCCTCCAGTGTGGGAATGAGTAATCGGAGAAGATGAAAGGTACTCTCTAAGTGTAGAGAGTAGTGTTTTGGTGTGTATGGTTTAGCTTAGGTCAGTTACCTTCAATGTGAAGTCAGTGTAGTTTATATAGAACTCCTTACTTGTTACCCAAGATGGTTTCATGGAGCTCTGCTGTTGCAAAGTTTCCTTTAGCATTCCTCAAGATCGGGGACTACCTGTTAGTTATCAAGGGATGTATATACTCATTGTAACCATGCTTGTAACAGATCACATTCCTTTGATCAACTGTTTCCGTGATTCTAGGGGGAGGGGACTAGCTGAGGTGGCACCCTCCATGCGCATGCATTAATTCACAGCTTCTACATTTCTCTTTTAGGTTCTTCTGGCTCGGTGTCGTTGTGCCTCGGCTCGGCCCTCTTATGAGATTGTTTGTAGAGATGGGTTGGCCTAGTAGGATATCTTTATATGGGCTCGGCCTCTTCTAGGTTTGGTCTAAGGATCAGATTCTGCAGTTTGGCCCAGCCCAACATCGTGGCTAGACTAACCTTTTCACTACAGGTTGGGCCAAGTGCTTGAGGACTTGGGTGGATTATTAATGATGTAACTGGGCTAATCTAACTGGCCCACTTGTTTACCTTGCTCCTCGGGACTTGAGTCTAATGAATTGAGCTGGCCCAAGGCTTGGATCCAACCCATTTTATATTTAGTCCCTTCACTATGCACTCAACCCACTAATAGGATTTCACATACGTTGGAACTTTCTAAAATGTTTTTAGTATAGACAGTTAAAAAAGGAAAAAGGAAAAAAGAAAAAGAAAGAACAGTCTAAGCACATCCTTTGTAGCAGTTTCATACTTTTGACATAGGAAAAGTAAAATCGCACTTTGCAATATATCATTTTGTAAAAATTGAACTTTGGCCTTGTAAGATAAAAAATTACACTTTGCACTTTACAATTTTGTAAAAGCTTCAATTTGCATTCTTAAATTTGAAAGTTATTGGAGATTATAATGCAAACCAAGGGCAGAAAATTCACCCCAAAAATAGAAAAAAAAAAAAAAAAAAAAAAAAAAAAGAGCAAAACTGCAACTTTTTACAAAATTTTTAGATGCAAATTATTATTATTATTTTTTATTTTACAATGTGCAAAGTGTAACGTTTACAAAATTATAAATCGCAAATTAAACTTTAAAATTGTACAAGAAAAGTACGACTTCTACATAATTGTAAGGAAGGAGTGCTGTCGATTTGGAGAGGGGACCGGACAAGAAGGGATTACAATGAGGTGCCATGGAAAAAGGGCCAATGGTAACAAAGAAAGCAACACTGGTTAGGTAAGGATTTGCAGAGAGAGAAGAGATGAGGTCGAAGGAAATGATAATTTGGTAATTTCATAAAAAAATTCTCACCATTTTATTATTATTTTGCTTCATTCCATTTGTTGTGCAATTACTTTAATTACTTTAGATTTCTTATTAATTTGTAATTATATTTTATCTTCATTTCAATAATTTGAAAATTTTCCTAAAATAAATGGCTGTTAATCATTAAAACAATATTTTTTTTTTTATACCACTCATTAAGACATCAGTGAATTTGTTGTAAGTTAAATTAATACAAGAAGATGTTCATACTTGTCCTTAAACTCAAGCCTCTCTCTAAAACCAAAGTTCATTTACATTTAAGCCTCGTTTGAGAAGCGACCGGTTTAGTAAAAAAGTCAAAAAATTACTAAAAAAACCAAAAAATCAACAACCTATACCAAAAAGTCAAAGATTCTCTTGTCTCTCTACTTTTTGCACATCTTTTCGTAAAAAATTAAAAAGTCATCTCAAACATACTAATTTTTTTTACATCATATTTTAACCAAAAAATCAAAAAATTACTAAAAAAACATGTTCCCAAACGAGGCCTTACTTAACTACCACTGCTCTCAAATCATTCTTACTAAGGTAAATAAAAATGCCCGTCTAACTCAAATGCATCAATGCACAGAGAGAGTAAACAAAGATCATATTTTTAAGTCACCATTGTTAAGAGTAGTGTCTGAAAATACTAGAGCAATAATACAGATAGGTAAGAATTTGCATTTTAAAATTTCATAAATGACGTTGGGCTCTGTAATTTGCCTAAATTTTTCTTTAAAAATTAAAATAAAAAAAATCATTTTACATTGGTATTTTGTTTTCCTTGTAAAAAAACAATAGATGGTGATGATGATAGTGACGGTAATGGTAATGGTAATGGTTATGAAAATAGTGATGCGCATTTTCAAGATAATTGGTAGGGTATATGATTTCTGTTTTTAATTGTTTTCAAAACAAGGCTTAAAAATGAAAATTGAAAATTGCATTTTCACTAATTACAAAAACTAGTACAAAAGCATATGACATCTGATGATCCGGCCAGATCTGCTTCACTACTAAGGCCTGTTTTGAAAAGATGGTAAAAAATGACTTTTTGACTTTTAACCAAGTTTTTAACTTTTTTAAACAAATAATTTGAGAAATTGATAAAAAGTTACTTTTGGCTTTTTTTATTAATATTTGTTTATGATGTCAAATCACAATAAAATGACCAAACTATCCCCATTAATTTAAAATATTTACAACTTCACTCATGTAGCACATTTTGACCCATAAAGGGTAGAATTATAATTTCACCGGTAGCTAAAAACTAACTTCCCAAATGAAAAAAAAAATGCAAAAAAACTAACTTTTAGCTTTTGTTACAAATCAAAAAAGTGGCTAAAAGCCAACTTCCCAAAGGCTAGAAATGGGGAGATATCCTCATTTTAGTATTATCAATGACTGACAGCGCTATATAAACCAGTCAACATTTTAATCACAAAATAGTTCCTGCAAGTTTCAAAACTCATAATAATGTCGTGACAAATAAATTTATAAACAGTGAATTTCGAGTTTTGTTTATATGTTGTTGCAATCTTATGCATTGAAATTGAGATGAAATAGAGGAGATGATTTCTTGCCAGAAATGGAGAGTATCCATCACAATCCTGCAGCAGCAGAACAGTAAATGTAAAAAAACCCAATTCCTATTTCGAACTCTCTGGGGAACAAACAAAATTTTCATGTTTTATAGAAACAAATAAAAAATAAAATAAGAAAACACATGAAACAGCCCAAGAACCTGAAGAACCTAGAATTACCCCACTTTCCACAGCCTATTTTCATCCACCCTTTTTTCCTTCTTTTTTTTTTTTCTTTTTTTTGTTGCAGTGTTTCTTTTTCACTGGATCAATATAGAAATATCTCCATTTGTACATTGTACATAATGTATAAATGGGCTTTCATACTGGAGAAATTTATTGAGAAATTTTTAGCTTCTCAAAAGACTCTTTAAAGGAACATTCAAGACCTTGCTCTCTCTCAACCTCTGCACTCAAATAAAACTTAGTAGGCCATTTACCTAGTGGAGTGTTAAATCTTATTACATTGGGAGAGTGGCCGAACCGTGCAGACTTAGCCTCCAGACTTTTTTTAGCACAAAAGTAGAGAATGATAAACTGCAAGACAATAAATTGGTTAAAAAAAATAAAATAAAAGTTATAATCTGTGGAAAAAGTTGAACTTGTTTGGTTAGATAAGCTGCCACAGTTTTTTATTGTGCAAATATCCAGAATGCCCTCAAAAGTTATAATTAAGACAAATGAGATGAGTCTCTTTAGTCCATAAATATTTAAGGGTTTCGAGTATAAGCAAAATAAATAAATAAAGAAAATTGTAGCTTCAGAAAAGCTCACTTTTTTTGGTTAAATAAGCTAAAATAGCCGAAGAACTGAACACCATTAGTCAACCTTTTTAAAACAAATGAACTAGACAAGTTAACATATAAGTGTTGCCAAACAGGGCGAAAGGAAATTGAGGATGACTATTCTGGACATGTGTATGTATATTCCAAGCCATTCAGTAGAAACATAAATGAGCTAAATACCAGAAATAAATGAGCTCAAAGATTTCTTTCCCTTTTCCTTTGAGTGGGGGTAGAACCAGGAAATAACCTTGCTTGCTTCTAGGGAGGAACATAGAAAATAAGTTCAATAAAGGATTCTAAGAAATCTAACCTCGTCAAAGCCAAAATTGTGAAATCATTCGACATCAATTTAGTTGCAATCTGTTGTAGTGATCTGCAGCTATTGATAATGATTGTATAGAAACAGAGAAGCCCGGACCCATCTGCATTAATGAGGTAGAAGAATACAATGACGCAAGCAATAAATTGAACAGTATATACAAGGCAAGCAACAATGATTTTAAGGACAGCTAATACGCATCTGAAAAGCTATTTACTCCACCATTTAAAGATAATTTATTATGTATTTTACAAATGCAACAGATCAATGTTTGAAAACTTAATTTGACTTTGCTAGTTGACTCCACCCAATTAGAAAGAGTAACTTGAGGGGAACACAACACTCTTCAAGTTTTTGTTCCAACTCTGTTGACTTGCTGCGATAAGCAAAAATACTAAACCAAGTTGAGTAGCCCAACACATACATCAATTAAAAAACAAAGAACATGGCTCATTAAAGTTCCAAAATCATTTAACCAAGTCGAGTAGCTCAATACGTAAATCATTTAAAAAACAAAGAATATGGCTCTTTAAAGTTTCAGAATCGTTTGATGGATATATTACTTTCTCAAAAATTTCTTAGGCAACTTAATCAACCATTGCTAATCAAGAATAAAAAATTTATCTAGTTCAAAACTAAAAGAACCATTATAATGAATAAATGAAGAATACAACAAAATCAAAACCAGGCTGTGGTTTTGACCAGTATTTTAAAAGGCGTGCCTAAGTGTGTGCTTAGGCACACCTAACGTGCCTCGGACAGCTTGAGGTAGTGCACCGTAGGAAAGGAGCATCTGAGGTGCACACCTTAGGCTCAGGCGCAAGCGCAGCACACGCCTCATGCACTTCACTTAAAATTTTGCTTCATCCTTATTTTGTGTGTGTAGCCACAAGGAAGCACAGCCCCTTTAATATTTATATGTAAACACATACTTTGAGCCCCAATTTTCATATCAAAAAAAGCCCTAGGCATTGAGCAAAAGCTTTAGAATTGCAAGATGGATATGACTTTGGGATTCTTTTCAACGTACTGAATTATGACAGTTTCGGGTCAATGATTGAATCTATCGGACAATTTGGTCCCGATTTAAAATCAAAACCGCTAAGTTACTATATAGTCCGAGTTTCTTATCTCAAAAAAGAAGTGCATGATGCCAATAAATTGATGAAGAAAGACATATAGTATTATGTAAAGGTTGAATGTTATATTTGAGAAATTTTCGAAATGTTGAATGTTATTTTTATGGTTTTTGGAATATTGAATGTCCTATATTTTTTTGAAATTCTAGAAATATTTGTTTATGTTGAAATCCTTGCATTTATAACAATTTCGCATATCTTCTACAACTGTGCCTTGCGTGCCTCACTTTGGTGAGGAATGCGCCTCACCTTGTGCCTCATGCTTAGGCTCCAAGAGATCTTAGCACCTCAATGCGCCTAGAGCTTTTCTGAACACTGGTTTTGACGCATTACCTTTCTATTTCATCATTCTTTCATGGAGTATTTTAAAGAAAAAGTAGATTTTAAAAAGGAACTCGAAAAGGTTTATTTTGAAAAGAAGGTAAAAGCCAGTTTTTTTGAAAAAAACAAAAAAAAATGATATGAACCCAAAAAAAATTAAAAAACTAACTTTTAACCAATTATCAAATAAGTTAAAGTAATCAAACATAAAATGGAAAGTGCAATGGTCCTGTTTGGTAGAGCTGTGGAAAAGTAATTATAGCTTATGGCTCAACAGCTTATAACTTATAACTTTCAGCTTAAGCTGATTTCCAGCTTATTCTTAAAGCATCTCCTGCCCCATTCAAAGAATAAACTGATTTCTGACATACAAAAAGTCATAAGCTGCATTGTTAACTTAGACAAAACACATCAAAATAGCTTAAATTAAGTTGAAAGCTGAAATAAATAGCTTTTAAGCTGCACCAAACAGGCACAATGTTTATAAGAATCTCCTCACTCCTCGAGAAAAAGACCAATATACCCTTTTTATGGACAGCATCTTTTTTATTTATTTATTTATTTATGATAAGAAAGTATAATATATAAATATAAAGCTAATGCAAAGTACAAGAATATACAACATTCTAGGGTAAACAACCCCTCTAGCATCATCAAATATTTGTACTCAAATATAAGGAGAAAATTGGTAAATAAAAAATCCTTCCGTAAGGCTGTTTCCTTGATTCATAGGGATATTTGCAGTAACATTTGCTTCTCTATATGTATGATTTGGATATTTGCTGCACTATTTCTAGGTTGGTACCCTATGAAAATGAATGTTTTGGTTGTTGTTAGCAAATTATGTGCCAGTTAAACCCAATTGATTTTGTTGTCTATCTGTATATTCATATTTTTTTTTCTTCCTTATTTAAGATTTTGTTGCCGTTTGGCAATTGATTTTTTAGTTAATTTTTTGATTTGGTTGATTTTTTTGACTTTTTTAACTTTTATAATAGAAGAAATGAAATGATTATAATTTAAATGTGATATTTTACCTTATTAATTTATTCAACCTATTATTTTTTGTATATTTTTAGCCGAAAAATTCTGGCCAAACCACCCCTTGTTTGTGTCTTTGAGTCCTAAATTCACACCCAACAAATCAACAATAATTAGGAGGTTGTATCGTACTACACCCACATTAGTAAATAACGTCAAAATTAAGAAACCAATAATAATAATAAATCACAATTTAGGATATCCTTTGTGACTAGGATTTAAGTCACCCATGTTCATTAGTTGCCATGAAATGAAAACCTAAAAAAAATAGATCCTATCCTAGTCACCTATGTTAATAGTTGCAATGAAAGGACAAAAAACCAAAACAATTGGAGACAAGAATTCTGTGTTCTAAATACCTCCAATTCCTTTTTAAATGTATTTTTAATTATTAAATTATGTGATAATTTTAAGAGGGTGAACTTTCTTTCAAGTTTAAATTTGAATTTGAAATATTTGTTTGAGCGGTGGGACTAGTACAAATCTCATTTCAATGATCAAAACTGTTAATTTATAAAACTCTCTATGTATATTATTTATGAAAAAAATTAATTCAATTCAATAATCATTTCATCTTTTTTTTTCCGTGGATAATATATACAAAAAACCTTATAAAATAAAAGATTCAGATCATCTAAACAAGATCCATGATGGGTATGAACTTAAGAAAAGACCAACCCATTTTTAAATATGTTAATCTTTGAGATATGATTCAATATTATGAATGTAGTGGGACAAATATATTGGAAAATGAAAACAATTTAAGAAATTGTATATAAAATAAAATACATAATAATGTGATAAAATTTTAATTTTATAAATTTAAAATAAAAGACTTATCAAAATAAGTTATATTTTTAAAAATAATATCGTCTTATTATTCTAATCTTAAATTATGTAATAGTATCATTTTTAATGGAGAATGCTATGTTTTTTGGAACCTAAAAATTGGTGTTTTGTCAGTAGATAAAACCCATGTATTACAAAGAACAACAATGGACCAAAATCCTTAAAATAAAATTTGCCACGTTAATTCACGTCTGCAAGCCCCCAACTTCACAACATTTTAGTAGATCAACCTCACATAGGGGCTTGAATTAAAAAAAAAAAAAAAT